TAATGTACATGATCCATGTATATACTTTAATAAAACTGATATAATGAAACAATATTTTGAGTGTGATGACATCAATTCATCTTCTATTCTCTAATTGGACACAAAGATCTAAAAATAAAGAACCAAGTAGAGCCTGCATAGTAATCATATGGAACAACATAATTGAGAGGTTTTGAAAAAGTAAAGACTATCAAACTTTAGGTCACTAGTCTAGTGAAATGAAATAAACTCAGTGAAATGAAGTTTATTCCAGGAAGGAAGGAAGGAAGATTTTTAAAAACAATCAAAAAATCTCTATCATAGTTTTCAAATCCAAATTACTATAGAAAGTTTTGGTAAAGCATCATAAGGTAATAACTGTGTGACAGACAGCTAATAGTTTTACAGTTTAAAATCTCAATAAATACTCTAATTTTAAGGATGGGTAAAAGTCCTTGACTGTCCTGTCATATCAAGTCCTTCCCATATTTTTAAAAAGCGCAAGACAGATTGATACAGATAATATTCCCACAGACTGCAGCACTTCTAGGACTCTTGGTAATATCTGTTCGGCAACTAACCCTTCCTGTTCTCAAAGATCAAAGTCCAAAACCTGCAGGCATCTGAAAAATATTATATAGCAGATACAGCTGCAAAATGAGCATAAAAATTGGGGAGGTGACAGACAGCTTGTTAAGGCCTAGGTGTGCCTCTTGGTAAACTTATATTTGCACACCAATGACAAAATCTCTCTTACAGAAAGTTAACTCTCCCTGGTTTGCATAAATCATGTCCATTGACTCAAATATTATATCATGAAGATATTTAACTTAAACTTGGTCTATTCAAAGAATTTGTGGGCTTAGATGTAGAATTTGACCGTTTCACATTTAATGATTATATTAGTTTGTACTCTCCAGAGAAATACAATCAGTAGGATATATATGGCTATATTAGAGTAGATATATTATAGGAATTGGCTCATAAGGTTATGGAGGCTAAGAAGTCCCACTATCTGTTGTCAGCAAATTGAAGAACCAGGAAACCTGATGGTACAATTCAGTTTGAGTCCAAAGGCCCAAGAACCAGGAGTTCTGAAGTACAAAGTCAGGGAAAGATGCAGGTGCCACATCAAGAAGGGAGACAGAATTCACCCATTCTCTTTTGTTCTATACTGGCCTTCAATGGATTGGATCATACCTGCCCACATGGGTGAAGGAAGATCTTCTTTACTCAGTCTACCAAATCAAATGCTAATCTCTCCCAGAAACACCCCACAGGCAAATTCAGAAATAATATTTTAGCAGCTATCTGGGCATCCCTTAGACCAATCAACTTGATGCATAAAATTAACTGTCATAATGATGCAATAGATTTAAGGATTTTGATGTCTCATGAAATTTTCATCATCATCGCTCTCTCCTTAGTTTGTGGATAGACTGCCACAACAGCTCTGAGCACCTCATGATCACCTTCTGACTTTAGACAGTGACCTTTACACCAACAAACAGAGCCAAGGCAATGCATTCTTTTTGTTAATAGAATAGTTAATAGAACTACATAGTAAAATAAGATATGCATCTGGATATTTCTCTTGTCATAGTTTTATATATTATTTTAATAGATAACATTTTTGTTTGGAGATTATCAATTTGTAATCCTCTGACTGTGGTAGATTACTTGTCTAATTAGAAAGAATCTTTGTGGTAAGTTCATGTTTACATTGACATTACCATTTAAACGTTATACAGTAGCCAAGGAAACAATATGATAATGATGCTCAAAATGAATCTTAACATTTTGCTAGATTTAAATTTCCTAACACACATTCGGGCAATGTATACTTTTTAAAAACCATATCACAGTAACATTTTCTGTTTAGAATTACTATGCAGATGTTTTTCTTATCCACTCCTTAAAGAAAAAAAAAAAAAAACTTGGAGCAAAAAAAGGCATTCTATTTACTAAGGGTGTGTGTGTGTGTGTGTGTGTGTGTGTGTGTGTGTGTTGCACTTATTTATTTATTTTAATGTAAGTATTGTGTAATTTCCTTAATGAGCATTAGCTTAAGCTTTCAAAAGGTATCATGACTATAAGCAAATTGATAGGAAAGTGGACAACAATGAATTAAGGATTACTGGCAGACTAAGACACTGTTTTATCTCTTTCGGGGTAGACAGAATTAAAATTACCTTCATTAACTGAGCAATATGATGTGGAAAATGAGCTGGGTACTTATCAAGAGGCTCTGTCATTTGCATTTTTGCTAAACTTTCAAGCTTCTCTGTTTTCTAGATGCTTAAGAGCTCTGAGTAGGACAGAAAGAAAAATTTTCAGGGAAGTAAGCCAGGAGGCATTGGAGGACTAGATTAAAGAAACAAAAAGGTTTATCAATAAAGATGTCAGAATTGTGCCTGTATATTTGTAATACAAAAAGACAGCCTTACAGAAAGGATCTAGGATGTACAAATGCATTAATTCTCCACACATTCAACAGTACCACAACAAAGCTAGAGGCTTTTCCTTTGATAAACGATCAGTACTTCATATGACTTACCATAGCTGCCCTGTTGCTAGTTAAAAGTCTGAATTTCAATTAAGCAGTAAATCTTTATGGTATTACATCTTGAACAGTTAACTTTTCCTTTAATCTCCTACAATTCTGAACACTGTTATTTTGCAGAATCATTTTCTTTATGCTCACTCAAAAGGAAAAATATTCTTATTGGACCAGTAAAGAAATATTTTCATCCAAATGAAACACTAAATATTAAATAATTTTTGTTTAGGTTTTTAATATATGTATACGTAAAAAGTTATTATACTTCTACAGTATAATTTAAAAGGCAATCAAATGTATTAATACACAGTCTGAGTTAAAAGTCCATCGACTTGAGTGTACACATTTAGCTCCTATGTCCCATTTCTGAATTCTTTCCCACATATATATTCCTTGAAAGACTTCTTAAATCACACAAAAAAACAAATAAACATTAATAATACCTATAATACTCAAATCAGTGGAAAAATTCTCATTTCCTATGTCACTTCAAATGCCCCTATAGATATTTTAAAACTTATTTTTTAAAAGTATTGGTTAATGCCTAAAAAAGTACAGCTAATAGAGGATACATTTAAAGGATTTGTGCAGCTTTCTTGATGATTTTCATATTTTAAGAGAAAATATAGGCCATTTAATAGGCACCATCTCCTTCATATAGAATTTTAAAACAATTTTAAATTTATGAGTCCATAAAGCCAAATTAACACAACTTCAAAGCTACACATTTAGAGTATCTTTAACAGTTAGACCCATTATTGGAATAAAATACAATTTTCTCTGTTCAGAAGCTTAGAAGAAAATCTTTCCCTTGGAAGCAAATGTAGTTATGCCTATGTCAGCAAAATTCTACCATTATATGTGCTACTTTTCTCAATTAGTTAGAATGCAAATATTTTTCCATTATTTAAAACAATTTTAGCAATTGACTTGAAGAAGTCAGCTACTTCATTTGAATTCCTGTGTGATATTGATAAAAATAAACACATTTAATTTTAAATGAATTATGTATCAAACAAGTATGGGCCAACTATCATGTTGCAGATATTTTATTATTAGATTCTCAGCTATACAGTAAGTTAAACATGCCTGAATAGAAAGCAGTTCTCCTTACAATGTCCCCAGCCCTGCAATACAAGGTAAAGAATGAAATCAAGTATACAGTATGTTAGAAGGTTCTTGCGCTACTGAACATTTAGCCAGGAATGTACATCTGTTTGACTCCAAAGTATCTGACTTTCATTCAGTATAGTGAATCCTCCCAACATAGTTGCCATTAGTCTCCAAACCAGTTCTTAAAAATGAAATCATAATTTTATATTGTAGCAAATACACCTATTAATAACAATACAAAAGATCATTTTGTTCAATACTAGATATTTTATTTCCTTTTGGAAAACATGAACTGTTATTTATTATATTTTTCTCTTTGAAAATTAATGTTATTTCAAGTTTAACTCAACTAATTCATTCTATCCATAATGTGTTTGAACGCTACATGTTCTAAACATGCAAGACTATTACACTAATCCAGCTAACTAAACCTTCTAAGAAACTAACAAAGCTTAATTTGACGGCTGGGCTTAACTCATCAAGGAGGAATTAAGAGTTTTATTAGCTGATTAGTTGTCATTAAACAATGCACACTTGCATTTTCAACATTCTACTGTGGTAAAAAGTAAAATATTTAAGTATTGATTACAAGAATTATGAGAGATGGCGACTTAAGAATCTCATAACTCTAGAATCCTATAATTCTATGAATATTTTTTAAACACAAAATTGTTCCCTAGGAAGAAACACATGCTTCTTATATCAAGTAACGATACTTTTAGCTGTTGAGTTTTTAATTTTTACATTATTTTTGCATATCAGAATAACGATAAGGATTAGAAAACTGATAGATATGTTGGAATAGATTTGCAAGAATCTGGTTTCTATAAAGATATCATACAAGAATATGTCAGATTGGGAGACCAAGGAAATTATGAGACAAAAGAGAAGGAGAAAACTTTTACAGATTAGAAAGGTTATAATGGAAAAATATAAACAGAAAAGATATGGTAGAAGCTACACCACCAATGTCAATCAAGGTTAAGTTTCAAGTAGAAACACTGGAATTAAGTGTAAAAAAATAGCATAATTTTCTTAATGCGTGTCCCATGACTTGAATACTACAGAAACTTTTAAATGACTCTTTATAGAAAACAAAATTCATTTTAAAGCATTTATAGAATACACTATAAAGTTCTAATCTTTAATCAAAAGCCACATGAAAAACTATTATTGTCTAATGACTCATACAAATTCTTGTTCTAAAATGTTATAAAAAGTCTCATGTATTTTTCAGTAATTTTAGAAACAAATTATTTGTTTAGTTTAAGTTTTTAAATTAGTAAATCACTTGGGCATCCAAAAATAAAAATAGAAGTATTTATAATGAAGAAAACTATGCACTTACCATCATGATTAGGATTTCCTAGTGTCCATGGCTCATCTGAGTCAAAATGAGTATCTCCCCCAATTCCTGGTCCAGGGAAATAGGCATGTGCCAAAAACCCTCCCTCTCCATCAAAGGGAGAACTGTCACCATGAAAGCCAGATGCAAAAATGATGGTTATATCCACATCACGTTTGCCATTTTCTAATTCACTGTAGGGAACTTCTTCAAACGTCAGAGGAGTTACATTCTGCCACACGTCAAAGGCACGACGAATAGCTTTACGGGTTTCAGGGTCTCCTACTTTTGGAGTTACGTTCTTTATACTGAAATTTAGAAAAAAGGGTAATCAGTATGGCTTTATTATATATAATCTGACTTATTATAGATTGGTTTATTACATATTTTCCTCTCTTCAGTTGAGTAAAAAAATAGAAAAACGTCTCATATTAAGTAGGAAAGAAATTAATTCCTTCTCTCTCTATAGCTAGATTTCCCTGTGCTGGGTCATTTAATTCTCAGCAATATAGTACTCATCTACCAAGGCTATAAATGAGAAGATCTTCTCTGCAGAATGCTTAACACTAGGGTAATTAGATCAATCAGTCATTTTGTCTCCTGAACAACAATAGAAAGGCAGCTTTGCCAAATGATCAAACAGGTGCAGCAGTTTCAAGCTGAAATAAAAAATTCAATTTCTGTCTGGTAATAATTACTTTTAGGGGCACAGTATTTTGTGCACACATGCTGCTTTCAAACAATGTCTTTATGCTCTTATCCATGAACAACAAATCAGTGGATACAAAATTATTTCTCAGTTTTTAAAGAAAATATAATTTAATTACAGTTCCTGATATTCGATTGTTTTTTATATACTTATTTCTAGTCAAAATAAAGCAATGAGAGTGAATAGCTTTTTAATACAAATATTTAACAGTTATATGAATTTAAAGAAGTAACTTGGACATTATTAGCTTATTTGTCTTGAGGTTAATAACAAATGGAAAAAGATATAAGTATTTTTCTCTAGCACTGATCAGATATTTCTCTTTTATCATTTATTTTTCTATTTTTTCTAAATAGAACATAAATGAAACAAATTTATATATATATGTAAGTATTTTATATTGTGGTAGTATAAGTTCATACCATCTTTGTGAAAAGTAATGAGTAAATTTCATAGGAGTTATAACTAAGTTTCAGACCACTTCAACCAATAATCTTACACCCGTGAATCCATGAATTTCACTAAGGGACTGTCTTAATGCATAGGAGGGTATAATATTCAGGTGAATATTATTATTTTATTATTGCAATGCATTTTTATTATTGCAGCACAATAATGAAAGAGAATTGGAGGCTAGATGATATACAAATCATGGTGTCTCTATTGCATGCCATAATATACACAGGATTTGAAATTTGAAAGAGCAAAATTTGATTTTGCTGTTTTAAAGCTATTTAGCTGTATGTAAAAATATTTAAGATATAATTTCTGGTGCAAAAATAGTATGCAGATTATATTTTTCACACAATTGTAACTATGTCAGGATAATTACAAACATTAGGCAGGAATTATACTGACATAATAATAATGGAATTAATTAATTACTATGAGCCAGGCAAGCATTTCACAATATCTTATATATCCCCTGAGTAACCCAGTGAGATGGACATGTATACCTACCCTACAAAGCAAGAAGTTGAGATTTAGAGGAATTTAAAGAAAATTTAGAAGGGCAGAGCTAGTTTTTCATCCCAAACATTCTCACTCAAGAATCAGTTATATTAAATTCTAAGCTAGGCCACACATCTGAAACAAGGTTTTCACTATTTTCTAATACGTATCATAGACCAGACTTACAATGGCTATTTGATGATAAGTATCATTTACTATACATAAAGAAAATGATGAAGTGAACCAAGTGAAATGGAGTTGGGGCAGGGAGTATTCCAGGAAGAAGAAATGGCAAGTGAAATGCTCTGAGGTGGAGACATGCTCGGCAAGTTCGAAGAATGGCAAGGTGGCTGGTATAGTTTGAGCAGAGACAGAGGGCAAGTGCCAAGATTTGAGGTCAGAAAAGCAACAGAGAATCAAATGAGATAGGGGCTTGTTGACCACTGTAAGAAGTTTGGCTTTTGCTCCAATTGAGAGGAAAAAACTGGAGCGTCATGAGCAGAAAAGTGACATTTGACTTATGCTTTAAAGAAATGATCGAGCTTTATGTGGAAAATATATTGAAGTGGAGCAGGAGTAGGGAGACCCACTGAGAACTCTTGCAAATTTTCAGGTGAGAAATGATACTGCTTTGGGCCAGGGGAGTACCAGTGGAGATATTGAGAAATAGTTGGATTTTGGATATATTTTAAAGGTACACTTGCCAAGATGTACTGATGGCTGGACATGAGCTCTGAGGGAAAAGGAAGTGTCAAGGAAGACACCATTATTATTATTATTTTTTACCTGAGCCAAAGGATGGATAGAGCAAAAGAATTCATGCCTGCTCAGGGAGAAAATTATGAAATCTTTTGTTGTTTTAGTGTTTTGTTTGTTTGTTTTAACTTTGTATCCCATTTAGTGTGATGCTTTGAACTCTCTTTTGAAAAAGAGTAAACTATATTGGGGCATCAACAACTTTGTTTAGCTTCTTAGTCTCTAAATTGCTGGTTTTGTTTTCTTTTGTAAAAAAAAAAATTACTTTATTGAAGTATAGTGATTTACAATTTTGTGTTGGTTTCTGGTGTACAGCAAGGCAATTCAGATATATATATATAAAATAGTCTGTGTTTGCTAATCCCAAACTCCCAACCCATCCCTCCTCCACTCCCTCTTCCCCTTGACAACCATAGGTCTGTTTGTTAAAGAATTATTTTTTTTTAAATTTTTTCATATGTATTTTTTAATTTATTTTTATTGCGGTATAGTTGTATTACAATGTTGTGTTAGTTTCAGGTGTACAGCAATGTGAATCTGTTATACATATACATATATCCACTCTTTTTTAAGATTCTTTTTTCACATAGGCCATTACAGAGTGTTCAGTAGAGTTCCCTGTGCTATACAGTAGGTTCTTATAAGTTATCTATTTTATATACAGTAGTGTGTATATGTTAATCCTGATCTCCCAGTTTATCCCTCCCACCCCACTTATACCCTGGTAACCATAAGTATGTTTTCTACATCTGCGACTTTACTTCTTTCTGTTTTGTAAGTAAATTCATTTGTACCCTTTTTTTTAGATTTCACATATAAGCAATATCATATATTTGTCTTTCTCTGTCAGACTTACTTCACTCAGTATGACAATCTCTAGGTCCATCCATGTTGTTGTAAATAGCATTATTTCATTATTTTTTAAGGCTGAGTAATAATCCGTTGTATATATATGTACCACATATTCTTTATCCATTCCTCTGTTGATGGACATTTAGGTTGTTTCCATGTCCTGGCTATTGTAAATAGTGCTGCAAAGAACACTGGGTTGCATGTAACTTTTCGAAGTATGGTTTTTCCGCATATATGCCTAGGAGTGGGGTTGCTGGATAATATGGTAGCTCTATTTTTAGTTTTTTAAGGAACTTCCATACTGTTCTCCATAGTGGCTGTACCGATTCACATTCCCACCAACAGTGTAAGAGGGTTCCCTTTTCTCCAGCATTTATTGTTTGTAGATTTTTTTTTTTTTTTTTTTTTTTTTTTTTTTTGGGTTGTGGCGTCTTTCTTTTGTGTTCTCTCCCGTTGCGGAGCACAGGCTCCGGACGCGCAGGCTCAGCGGCCATGGCTCACGGGCTCAGCCGCTCCGCGGCATGTGGGATCCTCCCGGACCAGGGCACGAACCTGTGTCCCCTGCATCGACAGGCGGACTCTCAACCGCTGCGCCACCAGGGAAGCCCTGTTTGTAGATTTTTTGATGATGGCCAGTCTGACTGGTGTGAAGTGATGACTCATTGTCATTTTGATTTGCATTTCTCTAATAATTAGTGATGCTGAGCGTCTTTTCATGTGCTTTTTGGCCATCTATATATCTTTGGCAAAATGTCTATTTAGATCTTGCACTCAGTTTTTGATACGGTTTTTTGTTTTTTTGATATTGAACTGCATGAGCTGTTTGTACATTTTGGAGATTAATCCCTTGTTAGTTGCTTCATTTGCAAATATTTTCTCCCATTCTGAGGGTTGTCTTTTTACTTTGTTTTTGCTTTCTTTTCTATATTACCTATTTGATGGCCGATGCATGCAGATTAATGTCGTAACTTTGAATTTTGTCTAAATTAATTTTCCTTGTAGTCTTTTATTTTCTTTCCACCTTATCGGATCGCAGAAGCCCATCATTAGTGGGCAAGTATTTTTATGACAAGCATTTGAAAGAATGTACTACATAATAGGTACTGCTCTAGGTGACAGACATAAAACTGTGAATAAGACTCTGATCTTGTAGAACTTATATATTTTAGTGGTAAGAGATAAACAATAAAAAATACAATTATAGATGGTTATAAATGAAGGGTGAGGAGGTGAGATAAGTAGATGATAAATGGGATTTCAATGACAAAAGGAGCCATGCATGCCTAGCACTGAGTTTCCATCCAGAAGGAATAGTGAGCAGCACAAACAAACTTGGCCAGTTCAGAGAATGAGACTGCTTTGTGAACTGGTGCAAAATGAATGCTCAGAACAGTGGTATGAGATGAAAGAGAATTGGCAGGGAGTGGGTTATGTTCTGTGAAAGGAAACCACTGAAGAGTTTTAAGCAGAGACGTATCCTGGTATTTTTCCAGTTTACAAAGATCACTGCTTCTGATGAAAAATGACTAGGGGGACAAGATTGGAACCAAACATTTTGGAAGTTTGAGCAAGTGAAATTAGAGAAATGTACTAGAGTGGCTGTCATGGAGATATGAAGAATTAGACAAGTTCAGTATACATTCTGAGGATATTGTTAATAGGAATTAGTGTTGGATTCAATATGTAATGGAGAAATCATTTTATATTCAAATAAAGGGTAACCTTACAGCAAAGAAAAATGAAATCATGTTAATATGATATGTATATAAGTACACAGTGGTTCTGAGAAAAATGAAGTAATATAATATAATAAAAAATAATAAATGTGGAGTACCATTTTGACTTGAAAACACATCACTGTGTTTTTCAAAGCTATGTACTGACGAATTTCCAAAATGTGCTTAACTACAATATTTGTGAAGTCATTCATAAATACAAGACATAAGTGTATTTTCAAATTACAATTTTCTCCTGATATATGCCCAGGAGTGGGATTGCTGGATCATACGGTAGTTTTATACTTAGTTTTTTAAGGAACCT